TCAAAAATATTTGATCCCAAGCTTAAATTGGTTGGGATCACCAATTTTTTTTTAAATTTCCTTTCAGTGAGAGAAGGAAGAGAAGGGATAAGAGGGCATTACTGTTATGATTGGCTCTGGGTTACATGGTTCTGGTTTATTTTGCTGAGTGCAAAAGAGAGTGGAAAACTACTTAAAGCTCAACAAAATAACATTAACAAAGATCATTTTCTCTCTTAGGGATTTGTCTGCATCCAATTCTTATGAGTTGAGGGGAAAAAAAAAAAAAGGTGATATTTAAGCGCATAGAGCCTGAATTGCTGAAGATAGAGGCAAGTGATAATGCAGCAGCTGCAGATGCTATTGCATTCAGCTCTTCATCCAGAAGCTGCTGCTCCGACTGCATCCATGAGCTTGTCTCAATCACATCAGGAAGCCTGGCCCAGCAGCACTGCTGGCAGCAAGGAGATCAGCCACAAGGGTGCTGTGCCTGGGGATGTGTCATCCCGTGTTCTCCTGACGGCAACCTCAGCTGGCAGGACAGCAGGCAGATGGAGAAGATCACATCAACCTCTCATTGCTAAGTCTGCAATAGATTATTGGTCCCAATCCTTTCCCCCCAAAATCCAAATAACAACACAAAAAGTTCAACTTCGCTGAGAATAGGTTCAAACACAATAATATCCCTCACTTCTGCTAAGGCCACAGTTTCACTTGAAGAGAAACTAACAACATTTCAAAGCAGAGTGAAAATTATGAAAAAAAATCCTCAATAAATATTCTATGCTAATTAAAAAAAGAAATACTTGATTTGTCTTTGTCAGATAATTACACTTATGTCAAACTTCACTTGACAAAAGCACATCAATTTTGCTACTTTAAGTAACATATGTAGACATTCATTTGAAAGAACTGAAAATGCAGTTACTGGGTAACCCTAGTAAGAAACAACTGCAAGGGCAGTCCTCTAAGCACTTCTTCCAGTGGCACTGCCAGTTTGATTAGATCTTTTTAATCTCTTTATTATCCCCAGTTGTGCCACACATTAATTAAAAAAAGATTAATTTGCACACATTCACAGTTCAACAGCACAAATAAAGGTATCATTGTGGGCCACAAGAATTCCCCTGTGCCATCAAAGGAGAAAGGCAAGATAAAATAAACAGCACTGGTGGAAGTGTTCACAAGTACCTGACATGACATGCAGCAGACCAATGCACAAGCCAACAGCAACACTTGAGGCAGCCTTCCTCAGGCTAGAGTGAATAAAATGTGGTGAAGGACATGGAGTCAGGCACTGCACTGCAAGGTCTGCAAGGGAGGTTGGGGTGGCAGTGGTTGTTTTAGGCTCAGAGGGTGTTAGGAATGGGCAGGGAGTTGTTTTGTTTGCTTTGATATTAAGCCTACTAAAGTCTTTTGAAAAAAGCACCAAAAGTTACCATGCATCCTTCCATGAGTTCTAACAAAGCAGCAGCATATTTCAAATAGCTCTTGTAGTAGTAATGGTAGCTCAGTCCTTTCTTTCCTTTCTCCATGACACTGATCTTGTGTTCCTGTCCACTCACCCATCTGCTGTCACCTTCTGGTTGTGAGGAACCAGCTATTTGTTAACCTGAACAATGAACAGATGAGGATTTTAAAGAAAGACAGGAAAGATTCTGAAAGGATCTTTGACTTATATTAGCCCGGTTACAGTGTGCTGCAGCAGTGAAAACAAATGGTGGGGATCAGGAAGCAACAGCACAGGGACTGCTTGAGGAAAAGGACTGCCAAGAAAGAGTTCCTCAGTATCACAGCCTCCAAGAGCATACTTTAAGCTAATTAAGTTAACAGGAAATATTGAGAAATAGAGTACTTAAGGGGAGAGGAGGAACGTTGCTAGGAAGAGGATAAACAGATCATCAGCACCTACAGAACAGAGAACACCATAAATAGTAAGATCTGTAAATTCTTCAGAGATCTGACTGACAAGCAAATGTGCTGACCCAAATCAAATTAGAAATTACATATACAGAAATCCACCTCCTCTATCATGCAGCCACCATAGGAAATGAAAATAGGAAATTAACTCAGTAGTTACATACAGGATGAGTGAACTCTACTGGACTTCACATTTGAGCAAATGAAAAAAGCACATAAATTCCAAGGAATACCATAGTAAAACCCAATGTTTAACAAGAACAACTCTCCTTGCATTTGTTTTAAATGAACTGAACTCCAGACTCAGCAGTCTAAATTAAATATTTAAACCCTTACATCTTTCTTTGTACCCATGATATGAAACTAAGCACTAAAGTAAGCTTCTTAGGTACATGTAAAATTTGAACTATTGAAAAGATGATGATCTTTGCGACTTTTAAAGACAACCTCTAAATAATATTTTCACAGTGCATAAACTTCCAATGTCAGGAAATCCTCAATAGCATAAAGAATAATAGAATTTACTTTTTAAGATCTCATTTTGTGAAACAAGTAATACAAGTTTTCAGCACAAGTTATTCAGAGAATTATAACCATCTCAGAAAAGAGCTTTTAAAGAAACTGGTTTGACTGCTTCAATTACAGGAGAATAACAATTCATCCATCACTACAACAATTATTTCAATACTGTAATTACAATGCTAGAATCCAAGTACCCGATATTTTTCAGAAGAGATAGCACACAGAGCAAATAGGCAGAATTTACATCTGAAGAGAGGCAAGTGGTATCAAGTAGTACCTACCCAATGATGACATGACCTCATGAATTGTCACTAGGTAAGATGTTATTTCCAGAAGAGAATGAGAGCTCACTCTCTTCTGACAAAGTAACTTAATTTTGGATAAGAGGGATAAGGAAAAGGAAGTTGCATTTCCCTACGAATTTTATAATGAACTGGCTGGTTATGGAAGTTACCACATCTACTGGCAAAGTAGAAAACAGGAAAAAGGGTCTGAGTATCAGAGCATGAACCTAGCTTTGAATTTAAATATGTCCAAATACACGGCACTGGAGAATTAAAAAGAACAGAACTTGAAAGAGCTATAAATATGTAAGGAAATTATGCATCTCTCCCAGAGGCCTTAGCCACAAGGTACGTACAACAGCACTGCGGTAGCTGCAGTGCAGAAGTAACACACAACATACGGAAAACAGGTGCATGAATGGTATGACCACTGCCATTCCTGCTGAATCAGTTATGCAGAATCTATCCTAGAGAGGAAAATCAGCCTAGGATTTGGACTCAATTCCTATGGGCCCCTTCCAGCCCAGAGTATCATATGATTTTAACTGAGATTAACAGGGCTCTTCTCAGAAATATGTTACAACTTAAATTATCCAGACTTTTACACTATGCTGATGATTCTAGGAAGAGACTTACTGTTGTTATTATCTTTAAGTTGTAATACATTCTTTTTGGCTTTAATCACTGACAAAAAAAAAAAAATCCACACTCGTGGAGGAAAAAAAACAAGTAGAATTTACATTACTTACATGATTTATTCCCTTTTGACCATAGTTTCCATCTATGACAGAGAGAAAAGTCAGTCAATTCAAATGCCACTGAGACTCTCTCCTACTTCATTCAACTTCTGTTCCTCTACATAAGCCTCAGAGACATACTGATACAATCAAACTACTTGCATTCAGTGACAGCATCTGAAATTTCCTTCTCTAGTGGATTTCCAAAGCAGAAAGGCATGCTCTGATTTAGGACGTTAGTTTGAGCTGTGTAATACTGGACTTCACATATTACTGAAGTTCATTAAAAACATTTTTGATAGCTTTTATAGCATATAGTGACTTGTGTAGCTCCATTAACCTACCAAGGCTTAAAATTATTGTCCTCATTGTCCTGATCACTAAAGGATAATAAAGATGCCATAGCACATTATTTTAAGAAGTTACCATTAAGCAGACAAAGAAATAATTGTTTTGGAACAGAGTTTCAAATGTACCTACACTCATGATAACTTTCAAGAGAGGTGCATATTTTAAAACTAAAAAACTTATTCAATTCCATAGTAATCTCCCACACTTTGCAAAGATCAGTAGCATGGCTTCAAGTATGCCCACAGAAAACCAACAGCTCATCCAAGGCAAAAACTACAGGCAAAGACAGCAGATGATAGAAGATGCTTGTGAAAAGCTAACAGGCGATAAGGAGAAATGGAAGCAAATGGATTAGTAAACAGCCAGGAGAAAAACCACATAACTTTATTCACTACTCAAAACAGAAGTCAGGATTCTGTTGGTATCAGATACTCACACATACCTAGTAGGTCCATATTAACTATTATCATTCAGTGGAACAACTACTTCATTACGGCCAATTTCTCTTATGCCAGTACTGAAGTCCCTTTTGTGTTTTTTTATACTTCAACCATCGCGCCCTGCCATCATTCTTCATTCTACACAAAGAAAATCTGAAACTACTTCAACACAGCCTTTTTCTTTATTTTTTACTTCACAGGACATTATTTATAGATGCTGACAAACAAGAGTGGCCTGAGAGATGTTAAAAAAAAATTCTTATGCAACGGGTAGAAAACAGAAGTCACTTCTCTAATGCAAGTAAAATAGAAGCAGCATAATTAAGCAAGGATGGTAGTATGACTATTATTCTAGAAATAGGAAGCATAGAGTAGCTTGGTATTTGCCTTATTAAACATCAGCTAGACATGCCAGATTTGATACATGCAATTTAAACCTAGAATGAGTCACTGTTGTATGCTTGGATGCTGTAAGTTTAAATTTTTCCAAGTCAATTAAAGCTCAGAATTCTAAGTGACTGAACTAAGAATGTAATTCAAGAATTGATCTCTTCATATAAATAGTCTTAACTGTTAAAGGGGATACAGTGGGTGGAATGAGGTGGCAGAGGGAAGCACAAACTCCAGCTACAGTTTCTGGAAATACAGCTGAGTCACAAGCAAGAACAAGAAAAATTGCTCTCTGGAAGAATACAGGTCTTTTTTAAACTGAATTCACCAAATACAAAGATAAATAAAGAAAAAAATAGGAATGATAATTATCTTACCTATGCAGAGAGTACAGCAGATAACTTACCAAGAATAGAAGGAAATCTAAGTAACTTTAGAACTTAAGCTGTACTTGCGCAACACAAAGTAAAGCAAAGCAACAAGCATGGGATTCTTCTGAATTTTTAAACAGAAAAACTGTTGTCATTTCCTACCCTAGAAACAGCTCTGTGTCCAGGCTCTACCATTAATAGAAACTTTCCATTTGGAAAAAAATAGTCCTTATTATTATTTTTAAAAGATAAGCTTCAGCTGCAGCTAGACAAACAGCAGCCAGTAGGAGTTCAGCTGTGAAGTGAATCGCTTTATTACTGAGCCATTGTCTAGACTACGCCATACATTTCTATTAGACACAAGAATGCAAGAAAGGATGGGTTCCACATCTGTCATGAACACTGACTTTAAGACTAGAGCACAGAATACATGAATAAACACTGTCATTATCAAAAGGAATGAGAGGTGGTGCTTGGTTGCTGAGCACAGCTGCAGTGTTGCACAGAACAGCTGGCTGGCTTCACAAGCCACAGCCTTAGTATGCCACACAAATTCAACTTAGATTAGAAACAGCAGAGTTCAGGGGTTAAGAGACAAGTTTACATGAGACAACTACTCAGAGCATTACTGGAATTTGCTAGTGAACTGTCACTAAGGGGAAGAACTTAGAGAGTTTCAGAGGAGTAACACATGCAAGTTTTCAAGCATTCTGTTTTGTAACACATTGTCCTGACAGTAAGCAGGCTGGGGAATAAGAGACCCAACACCTAATCAAATGCAAGTTTGAAAGTAGGTATGGTTGGTTTCTGTTTTTAATTTGATCTGTGCAGCCCACTGTTAAACTCACGTTACACACTCTTCTTAAATCTGAAACTAGGTGCTACATGACTCACCACAGAAATAACAGTAACACGAATGCAAATCTCTACAATCCCAGTGTTCATGCTCCTCTCAAAGTGCCCATAATGTATGGAAAACCAATGAGTACTTCTGATCTCTCTCCCCTCCCCTTGACACTGGCTGCAAATGAAGGAATCTGTACTTCACTGTCAGAAGAAACAGCCCACAACCTCATGTGGAACACAGGTACTTCAGGTTTAACATCACAATATTTTAATGCACTGGCACTCCACAAGTTTCCATAAGCAAAATTTTGTTGTACCATGTACGTGTCACTGAGCTTATCTACACATGAGAAGTTTATAGGCCATTTTTGGAAAGAAAGTTTTGCAGTCCCTATCTACTGTTCAATTTTTCAACCTTACTAAAGCATAGGTTACAGAAAAATGCAGAAATATGAGCACTCAAAAGCTTACATCAGCAATACTAACTCCTACAGGCTCCTACAGCCTTTGAAGAGCGTGTGGATGGCCACCACCCCTCCAGCCAAAAGCCTCCTGGGAGAAGTGAGCATCGCTGAACCTGGAGCACATCCTGCTGCAAACAGCAGGCATCGCTGCCAACACCAGAGCAACACTTCTCCAACTGAAAGTCCTCACTGATTCTCACAGGGCTTAGGGGAACATCCTTTATAGATTCTCTTCCTACAGATACACTTTCAGACCCTCCAGCACTTGCATTTGACAGACAGAATGAAGGGGAATTGACTGCACTGTTTAGAATTGGCCTTATGACATGGATGTCACTGAAAGTTATTTGGACACCACTCATGCAGATATATCATAAGAATCCCATGTTTCAGACTTCCTTATTCGTTAGCATAAAGTGGGTAATTAGCATCATTAACATTCTTCCCAGCTGGAAATAATGTGCTTCTACACTGCAGCTAAAATGGCACGCTGTTCAGTGAGGCCTTTTTTTGCCAGACATTCAATAGAAATTTAAAATTTCCCATTTCTTCTTCTTTAATAAAGATTACTACACAAAGTATTCCTTGAAGTCTTAAGGAAATTAAAATATCATTCCAAAGAACAAAATCTGCAACAAGTATAAAGCAGCAATAACTATTTTGGCCTTTGAGCATGACAATTTCACACCCAATGCTAGGAATAAGACAAAAACAATTTTAACTATTAAAAGAACATAGCTGTATGAAATCAAAACCACAAATCCCTTTATACAGAAGACATATGGTGGAAATTAATAGCAAGTGACAAAAGCTTTTTCCCCCCTTATGAAAGTTTATGCATGCTGTGATGTGTGTGCCTATTTTTATGAAAAGCCAAGTTCTCTTTATATAATTAGAACAGCTCTTGAGGCAGGAAGAATATAATTGGCAAAAATGACTTAGAACTGAGAAAATCTCACTGGAGTTATCACTATGTCATAGCCTAAGCACATTGCATAAGAATGGTCTTGTAAAACAAGAGACAAAAGCAAGCTGGGGAGGAGCTGCATTCAGCACAGACATTTTTCCTACTCCTTGGCTGTGAAGATGAATAGTTGGAAAGCTGACAAGTTTTCATAGGTATGACTGAGCGCTCAGTCCTTGACTCCGAATTAAATTGGACATAAGGCTTTGGCTGGCCAAGATCACTAAACACAAACGAAAATCAAAAGTAACCTTCATCATTGATGTTACTGTAAGATAAAGTAAATAGGAACCAACACTTCTTTATTGTTTGTCACTAACCTGTCTTTACTGTGGGCTAATAAAAACTTACAGTCAAGGACAGAAAACTTCACTGCAGCTGCATTTAAAGAATCAAAATTAAAAATAATAATAAAATATGGTTCCCAGCTCATCCCATCTCCAAAGAATTCCAAAAATCTGGGTCTGCTTACATCATCAGGGTTTCAAAACTCTCCTTTCCCACAGCATTCCATCTATTAGAAAATAACAGCTTAGTAATCTAAAATAAAAATATCTACTGCCTGCTTAACATTAACTGACAGAAAAAGAAAAGCTCAAAATAATTGCTCTAGGCTTAGGTTTCAGTCTTGCAAAAAATTAAGTGGATGAGTAGTCCTGTATCCAGAAGCTACCTGCACTGATTTTGTTACATGCAGATCAACATGTTTCACTTAGGTACACCTTATATACACAGAAGCAGATTCTTCAAATATACCTCTAATCCAGGGCTACTGACTGTTTTATACAGTCAGTGGGTGAGCTACTCAGAAAGCTCACAGGAAAAGCCTACACTAACAGTTCTACAAATGCAGAGTCTTAGAATCAGTAAGAAGAAATTAAGGTATGGGGAAATGGGGATTTATAACACATTAAAAGGGACATGCTAGTAAAACAACAGAATTAAAAACAACTGCTACATTTGGACCAATTATAACAATGGGGAAAAGTTACGGAAATTTGGGAGTTTAAAAGAAAGTTGAAGAAATGCTGGAAAAAAATATATTTTTCCAATGCTGGGGAAAAAAAAAAAAAAAAAAGTGGAAGAAATAGTGAAAAGCACAGACAGATCTGTAGATCACATTAATGGATCCATTTCTATCAAGTATTAGTATTCTGCTTCACAAGACAGCTTGTAAAGTATGTGGTCTGTATTCCATGTTCATTTGGCTTTTGTTGCCACCACCTCAGTTCTGCAACACTGTATGGTTGCTAAGTTCTCCACAACTCACATCACTATGTGCACAAGGAAGCATTGGTGAGATTTTGACCTTACTGCCTTCAGACTCATCAAAGTTTAGCAAAGTGGTTTAAGTTTTAGTTTATAGAAATGAAAAGCCAATGTCTTTGTTTATGGGACTAAAATAGTCATGGAAGACAGCAAAGACACTAGAAATGATTGCTATCATATACACCTATAGCAAATCATAAGCTATAATTGCACTGGCAAGTAATTGGTCACTTAATGAGTGACCAAAGTTTAGTTAATCACTGATCACTGATGTCCTCTGCAGTGCCAGAGACTGGATCACGACAGATGGCTCTCCCCCCTCTTGAAACACAAGACTATCATATTCTTCAGCATGAACACTGTCCTTCCAACACTTTAATCCTCATCAGCTTCTACATGCACACTGCAAATGCATGAAAGGTCTTATGAGATTAGACTCTATTTCCAGCAAAATAGTGTAGTCATTCCAAGTCATCCCCTCAGCCTGTTTTTACATTTAAGCTTTCATACTCATAGCAATTTCATTTAACTAAACTAGACCATATATCCTATGTATCAGCAAAAAAACTCCCCAGAGTTCCAACTATCAGCAAAAAAAAAAAAACAAAAAAAAACAACAAAACAAAAACAAATAAACAAAAAAAAACCAAGAGTAGAAAAATGTATGCCACACAAGAGTGATGAGAAAGCGTGCTGAGTGTAGACTCGTATTAATCTAACTAGGTTATATGGAACAGTTCAGAAGGTGTTACAGTGTTTCCAGCTGGGACAGTAAGAAAAAGGAGAGGTGGGTAACACCAGTGAGCTGATACCACGTTCACTTCTGTTTCCTCTGTCAAGGTAGGGCATCTCTTTGATGTAGGCGACAGTATCTCTTCCCAGCTCATTTACACTCTTTCAAGTGCTCCTATTCCCCCTCAGGAGTCTCTTATGAAATAGACCAATCTCACTGAGCCAAACTGCAATACAGACTACGCTCCCTTGCTGGAGAATAGGAACAAGGTACACTTTCATTTGGTGCTCATTTCAGATCTGAAGTTGTAGAACACGATTCAGCACGATACAAGTGTAAGTACTGAAAGAGCCAGGTGAACACTTGAGAGAAGGTTGAGAGAAGCCTTGTTTCTCAGCAAGGGCAGCTGAATCAGGACTTAAGTCAAAGCAGTGTATCACTGGTTTGCAAATTACTATAGCCCTCAAGTGTAAAAAAAGAGTTGTGACTATTTCTGAACTAATGTTTCCTGCGTTCCTCTGTAATACTTACAACTTCCTCAGAGAACCAAAAAAACAAATTAAAATGTAATACTACTAATATAAAGAAAGAGGGGGGGAAAAAAAAAAAAAACAAAGGAAAAAAACAAAGCGCCACATTCTTACCTAAGAGCCTTCTGGCTCATTTCCATCTTTTCTCTTAGATTTTTAAGACAACATCAAAGTGCCATATACTCTATTTGCTCTACTCACTGCACCCCTCATGTAACTGTCGTCCAAGGTGGCCTTAGCAAACATCTCAGAACAGTTTCACTTGCATGACTTCCTCCAAGCTTATTCTTAGACACAGCTTGAAGCTGCCTGCTTCTCAGCCTT